GAAGACTATTGTATCGTTAAAAATTATTTTTTTATTTTGTACAAACAAAATAAATATATTGAAAAATATAAAAACAATAAAAAATTATACTTCAGAAGTTAATTTAGTATCAAAAACGTAAAATATTTGAGTAGCCCAAGACATAGCCAAAGATTGCAGCGCCACAGCACTGGGGAAAATTTAAATTTGCTGACTGGAATTCTTTCGGATAATTGACTTTTCGGATAATCAACGCTCTACTGTAATTAGATTGAAGCCATAACGATTAAATTCTAATAGTTTAATTTTGAGATGCCATAAATGACTTAAATATTTTTATTACTGTAATTTCTTGCATATAGTCTACATTGGTGAATAATCTGCAAAAATTGCTAGAACACAGCCCGTTCCTGCTTTCAAATTGATTTTAAAGCACAGCCAGCTCAAGGCTAAATGCAGGAAATTACAGTAAATAATTTTGTTGTCATGAATTATTTGAGATATAATTACTTAAGAGTCTTCAAAACCAATTTAATTTCATTAAATTATTACCTTGTTTTTACTGTCTGTATCATCCATTTTACCATTTAGTTCTTCGTTTAACTTCTTATTCTTCTTTCCTTCTCTAGAAGATCTTAAAATTAATGAACCTATTCGGAATCCAACTTTGACATTTTCTTTATTAGCACTAGATTTTTTAGGTGATTTTTTAGAACAAGTAGAAGTTGATAAATCTCGACATATATAATCTTGATGAGAATTACATGGTGTTATATACTCTTGATTTCTACTAATATCAGATGATGACACATCAGTTTGCTTATTTTTTGATTTCTGAAACCTAAAGTTAAAACTTTTTCTGAACCTTTCTAATACACTGTCTACTGAAGAAAGCTGAGGGGTAGATGTACGAAGAGTAAAGTACCTAGATAATAGTCCCGATGGTACTTCTCTAGAAGGCGGTGGTTCCTCTGCTATAAGGGTAGGTTGTGATCCACCAGAAATACTCATCCTTCTCCAAAAACTGGGGGCAGTATCTCGAATGGATGGAGGATTAAAAATTCTTTCAGCTTCAACATCACCATATATGTGAGACCATGGCCTTCTTCTATTATAAATATCTTGACTAACATCATCCTCACTACTAGTTCGACATTCTGGTGTTATTTCACAATGAGAAGAGGTCCTCTCATGTATAATCCTAAGTGATGATGGATCTTCTTTTGCAGTTTTACACATTTCTAAATGAGTATTGGATTGAGATAAGACACATGTTTCATTTGAGGAAATATCTTTTATATCTGATAAATCTGACTGATGAACACTTTGAGCACTACTGTTGGCAGTCCCAACACCCATTATAATAATGTTTGTTTGATTTTCTTGGTCCTCTTCTAATACACTATCTTGTTCAATCTTATTGTTCTCTATTTCTTGCTAAAATAAATAAATATATTTATCAGTAAGATAATAAGTTTAAAAAATAATCAAATATATGCTACAGATAAAAAAAATATATTTATTGGAAAAAACAATTTATATATATAATTACTGTGTATAAATACTCAAATATCACTATTTTTTATAATTTTTTAAAATCTTTCAAAATCATTAATACTCACAGAACATCTACCCTGTTTGATCAATTTTTATTGATCAAATAGTAAATTAAAATTAATAAAAAAGTATTGCAGGAGTATTGATAAAACTAGCTGTTACCCACGACTTCGTTTGCGGTGGTTTTGCAAGCAAACCCCATTTGTATTCAGTATTTCAACAACCATAGTAATTGTTATATAACACCTACTGCTGAGAATAATGAGAATTGCTGAGAATCAAACAAACTGTTTTCAATTTGATCAATTTTCTGGAACGTTTACAATCATTCTATAATTGAACCAATATGCAATAACAAATTTGAATTTAAAACGGTTCAAACATTTGGTTAAAAAATGGAATTACAGTAAAACCTGTCTATGACGACCACCCACGGTTCCTTCAAAAAGTGGTCTTTTAGACAGGTGGTCGTCCAATACAGGTAGTACTGTAATACCGTATTTCCGTACGTATTTTGCGCACTTTTTAGCCATTTCTACTAAGCAAAACTCGAGGTGAACAAAAGTAAGCGAATTTTTTCAACGATAGGGCTATATTGGTATTGTATTTTATTCTTACAGGAGTCCCGACATACAGGAGTCGTCATATTATAAGACAGATTTAACACCAATACTTTAAAGATTAATACAATACTCGCATTTTCTCCATTATAATGCACACTTTCTCTTTTCCGACTTAATTAATTCGACTCGGTTCTTTTCGTTCGCTCCTCAGTTACGTGTATTACGTCACCAATATATAAGCGCGTCGTATCTCTCCATCACTTTGCTTTTCGTTAGTTTAATCTTATTTTAACTTTAAAAATATTGTATTTTTTAATATTTAATATTTTCTTAATTAATTAAGTACAATAAGAAAAATTATTAATTAATAATGAAACGATTTTATTATTTTTTCTCATTATACGATTTCATTACAATCGCGGAATCGAAAAAGGAAGTAAAACTGATTTTTGCATTAATGCGTTTATTGTTTTTTGAATATTTTGCCTGCGAAAATTACTTGGATATTATTTTTCTAAAAATATCGTGGAAATAAGGTAGGTTGATACAGAAACTATTTATCGCACGTGTACTGTATATGAGCTTCAAAATAAATAAATAAAAATAGATTTTATCAAACGATGAGATCAGCCGATTAATTGTATCGTGTACAATATTTTACACCCCCAAGGAAAATACTGTAGGTCTAGGGTAAAATAAATTTTGTTTTCCCACAGTTAAACTTCGCCGCTAATTGCTGTTGTGATAACTTTAATACGATCTTCTAACGACAGCGCTTTGCATTTCGGACATTTTCCAACAAACTGAAATGAATTTCCTTTGTTGCTAGACTAATTTATTAACACCTGCAACTAATTTCAAGGGTGGGAGAAGTGCCCGGGATGGGTTCGAACGAGAGTTTAAACTAATTCATCATATTAGGAGGTGGAAACGTTGTTGAGATGATCTTACTATAGTTTAGACCAGATACATTCGCGAAAGTGGTCACTTATTACAGGTGTTGTATGTTGTTTCGGACCAAAAATCGATGCCCGCGGTCGCGTTACGTAGGTGGTCGTTTAATACAGGTAACTTATACGAAGACTCTATGAATAAACTATTCCGTGCCAGAAATTTTTGCCCGTTTTGACAGGTGCCCGTCGAATGCAGGTGGTCGCCTAGGCAGTTTTCACTGTATATGAAATTATTTATAACAATGTCTAAAGTGTTATCAAATACACCTAAGTACTCAATGAAGACTAAACGTAAAAACAAAAAATCGCATCTAAAATAGTACAGTAGAAGCTGTTCTTCCGGTTAAGCCTTAATGCTCCCCCCACGAGGGAATTTTGAAAAATTCCTTCGTAGTGTGCATTTTCATGGCATACCCTAACTGTGTACCAAACTTCACCTCTAGGTTCAGCGGTTTGCTCTGGGTGATGATGAATCAGTGAGTCAGTCAGGACAAGTAATTTTATATATTTAGATAATAAGTTGTGATTTTTTTATTTTAGTGAAATTCATTTCAGTAGCTTTAATTATACAATATTCAAAATATTGTAAAAATATTATATGAATTATCAACTTGTTCCTGAACAAAAATAATATAAATTAAATATTTGAAAATTTCATTTACCATATAGGCTTATTATCAGTTATATAATAATTCTACTAATTCTATTAGACAGATAACATTTTTGTTTGATTAATTATTATAGTCATTTTATTTTTTACATAATATTATGTATATGAATTATTTATCTTCTTCACTCTAATTAATGAACAGTTTATTAAATATTTAAAGTGTTTATATAGGCCTCTATTTGGAATTCAAACTTAAATTTTTATTCAATCTATAAAAATATTACAATAGATTCTGACATAAAGCAAAACAAAATCATATAAATCTTGTTTTCCAAAACAAAAAATTTATTCTAACTGATACTCTACAGCCACCTCCTGCCTGAGCAATGTGCTATGATGTGGATACATCACTCTTGGATAGGGTGACAAAACATCCAATTTCCAGACTATCCCTGGTTTTGCTTGTTTTAAATATTTGAAAAAAAAAAATAAAACTCACAACTCACCACACTTATATATCAAACACGTACACTGAACCAATATAATGTGTGGTACGAACGACGAAACAAAAAACAAACGTTTTCGAACCTCTTCTAGTTTCTTCCTCAGGTTCCTTTAGCTTTTTAGCTCGTAAATTCGATATTTCAAATAACTTCGTTCTTGCGATCGAACAGTTCTTTTTTAAAAGATGTGTCGCGCATGCCGTTCAAACTAACGACTGCCGTCAACGAAAGACATTAACGAATGTTGTTTAAATAATTTCTTTCTTAAGATCGAACATTTCTTTTAAATTATCCGTCACGCATGCGTGACGAGCTAAAAAGCTAAAGGAACCTGAGGAAGAACCTAGAAGAGGTTCGAAAACGTTTGTTTTTTGTTTCGTCGTTCGTACCACACATTATATTGGTTCAGTGTACGTGTTTAAATATTTGATTTTCAAACTAATCTCTGAATAGAGCAATCTTGTTAACACAAATATAATATCATCAATTTATAGGTGAATAAATAAATTTTAAAAAATAACTGAAGGTCAATCTTGTTTTAGACTCCATTTTCACTGATTCCAAACTGTGTTCCCAGTTGGATTGTAAATGGTATGGTCCACCTATCTTGGAGCACTTGAAGATGTTGAAAAGAATAAATTTTTCTTCTTGAAAGAAATGTTTTTGTTCTATATTTATTTATGTTAATATAAAGAACACGCTTAACAGAAACATGATTTAGAAAATCTGATTTAAAAAAGTTTGCTCAGTAAGAACTATAGATATATTTCATATTGGTATTAATTTAAAATGGCATTGCTTTTTCATCTCCTATCACAAATAAACCTTGTTTAATTGAAGTTACTTTATGATTTATATTTTGAAGTTGTTGACTAAAATATTTAGAATTATATTTTGTAAAAAGTATTTATATAATGTTTGCTTTATTTATTTGAATGAATATTAAATAAAAAATTATATTGATATATTGCCATCTGTATATGATGTCATGCCTTATTGGGGGAGTAGCTAAGAATGTGGCAAAATGTGACAAGGAGGAGGGGAATGATCCTTATAAACATCATATTTCACATTTACCATTATTCAGTATCATACATGTTTTTTAATGCAGGCCACAATAAAAATATATTCCTTAAAAATTTATCTAAGAACTGAAAAAACAGCAAAAAGTAAATGTATACCATATGGTTACTTTACTGTTGCTAGTAAGACAATATATTCTATTATGGCAAAGGTAAAGTGATTGGTACAATTTCTATTACTATAATAATGTGGAATTTACCTCATCACATTCTCACTGTTCTTATGTTAGAAATGACTCATCAGTTCATTTTTTTAGATATGAGTCTGAAGTCAAACAAATGATAGGATAAGTAATGTTTTGAAATTGTTGTGCATCTGCATCTGCATCTGCATCTGCATCAATTTTAAAGATGAATTGGTTCTGTCACTGGCCTGGCAGGCGTTGATGAACTCCAAACTCTAAGTGTTATGTTATGTCAACCATACGAACATGCATGCACCTCATATAACACCTTCAAATGTTTCTCAAATTTCCTAAACTGTTTGCTCTGATCCATCAGAAATTCAGTTTTACACCTGAAGAAGAACTCACAGCAGTTCAAAAATGTTTGTCATGAACTTTTTTTATGACACACTGGTTATAGATCTAGGAGTACATTGTTGTGCTATTGCTATAAAATCATAGGCTGTCTTTGTTTCCAAAGTCTGTTGAGATAAACAAGGTATTATAATTTTGTATGTAAGACTACATAGAACTGTCAAGGTTAGGGATTGAGACCAATCAGAGCAACCTACTATACATTGAATAAATGAAATTGTTTCTTCAGGATGTCATATTTGTTTTTAAAACAAATGTTTTTGACTTATTCCAGGTCATATTCATCTTGAAAGTGAAAATGTTTGAAATGAAATATTCATTATGAAGTTAACATAAATTGAATATTGATGTTTAAAATTACATAATATTTAATTAAATAAGTTAGATTTATAAATGCATTAGATATTTTAAACAATATAAACACAATTACAACTTACCCTAATAATAAAACTTTAAAATAAATACAATATGCAAAACAGCAACATGGCAATAACAAAGAAAGAAATAACATTAAGTTGTTAAGAAGGAGTATTAAAGAGCTTAAAATTATTTGAATTTAGATATAAAAAGTGTTTAACTAGATTATACAAATTAATAAAGTATAAAATTACAGTCCAATTCCTGTCTAAC